GTCAAACACAGACGGGGTGCACCTCGGCTGCTAACTATTTCCTCACACTAATTAGGTTACACATTATTTTTATTCTAATAGTTTAACTATTTAATACCATTTAATTAACAGACGTACGTCAGATCAGTAAAATAAGCTGTCCCCCCCCCCAACCCCACCCCCACGGAACAATTAATTAATTTCCTGTAGTCTACGTGCAGACGATATAGATACAAAATACGTCACGGGAAGCTCATCGAGGAGAAAAAACCCTTCAGATTTCTACAAGATTGCTTGGCTTTCCCTTCCCCTGGTGAAGACAATGTGACCTTTGACGCCGGAACAGGAATTGAAAAATGCCATCCACGATTGCCTAAGTGATCCCACATCAAATGTGAAGTAGAACACACCAACTCATCGTATTTGTCTAATCATCCACCGCTCAGTTCTCAATCCACATCAGTGAAGTCAAATGATGACAAAAGTAGTCTGACACCACTCAGGGGTCAATATCGGCCATTAGATCATAGCAGTGATATTTTTAGACTTATTTATTGGAAACAACAGAAATGTGTGTTTTTTCTGGTCCAGATAAAATGTTCCGATCATAAAGCATTCGGTGTAACCCACGGATCATTGTATGCGTCACACACAAACATACGTGAGATCATTGAAATGGCTTTTACGGGAATTTTTAAATAAAATAATTACATTTGAAGTTGTGTCCATTTCTCGTCTTCTATATTTTGAGAACCCACGATCAATGTATTGATCATTCTGGCTCCTATGTTTGTAGAGGGTTTCGTAATGCAACTTCACTGGTTGCTAGGGCTACTTAGTGATGTATTAAGAACTGGGGGTTGGAAGACAGGAGACAATAGACGCAAATGTGTAATCTCCTCAACTGCTGCTTTTGGAAGCTTGTTCCAGTCTCTGATTGTCTTTGGTAGGAATGAGATGTTCTTTCACTGAGTTCTTGTTGCTATGAGCTCGAACTACCTGCCATGGCCTCGTCACTGTCGGGGGGGGGGGGCATGCAGGACAAAGCGGGCTGCCCGTCGCTGGACCGCCTCCTACCTGACTATGCTCTTCTGGGTGAATGGATCCCCGACTAGACTAAATATGCTTAGTCTAAAAGCAGGCTAGACAAAGACTTTGTAGGCTTTTTCTTTCACGCTGGAATTGCCGTTCCTTAGATTTCGCCTCAGAAACGCTAGGGCCTTATTTGCCCGGTTGCACACATTGTTAATATGCTCGTCCAAATCAGACCTCTTTTTGAATGGTTACACCGAGGTACTTTACGGTGGAAATTAGCTCCAGAATACGGCCATGCAATTCGTAAGGGTGGTCTAGAGGGGATTTACTTCTGGAGACTGACAGGGTCGGGCACTTTACATGATGAAATTCCACGTCCCAGCTCATCTTCTACTCAAATAACCGATTGATGTCCTTTTGCAGCTGGTCCTGGTCAGTACTGCTGGCGATCGTCCTATACTCCGCCGGGTCGTCTGCTAACAGTCTTTCTTGGGAGATCAGCTTCTCGGGCAGGTCATTGATATACGCTAGGAACAGACAGGGGCCCAGCACAGAGCCCTTGGGGGACACGTGAAGGAGGTTGTGCCGTCGACTGCCTGGCATCGGTCGCGGAGGAAGCTAGAGATCCATGTTTCTGAAGTTTGTGTCATAGCAAACTATGATTGGCACTGTACAATGCCTTTGAGAAGTCCATCATCAGCACGCCAGTTCGCTTGCTATTCTCCAAATCGGTCGTCAAGACGTCTACAAATCCATTTTTATTTTTCCACTGAGATGATTAAGCCCCGGGACCAAGAAGCCTGTTCCCATCGCATGCTCTCCTTATTAGAACTCTCAATGAACTAAAACCTCCTGGCACTGAATGTTTGGCTATGTTGTCTAAGTAAAGTAATAATAAGACTAAACACAGACGCTTTTACGACTCCGACTCTTGTGATGACATTACACCACCAATCAGCTCAGAACTATCGCCGTTGTTTAATCATATTCAAATGTGCATTCTTTTCTCTCTCATACACTGCCTTAAAAATAATTTTTGGACCATATTATTTTCTCTGTTACTTGTCCCCGTGAAGATGATCAACATGAAGTTACGTGGCTAAACCGCAGAACGGCTATAACTGTAACAGTGTAACATATTCCCAGACAGAATCTCTGGTTTCACCTCTCCAACGACAAAAATCTTTTTTCACTTTATTTTTTCCGCTGTGTGTACATATTTTTTTTTTTTTTTTTTTTTTTTTCTTTTAAAATTTTTTTTTTTTTTTTTTTTTCCCCTGTGTGTAATTATTTTTTTTTTTTTTTTTTTTTGCTCCATTAAAAATATTGATTTTTGCTGTATAAAAATGGTGGCGTCATTAAATTAAATTTTTTTTTTGAAGGAAAAATTTCATTCGACATCTCAGATAATACAATTAGAAAGAAAAAAAAAGAAAAGTCTAATTGATCCCAGCATTCTCTTCAAGTCTGGCCAGTTTGATTCATACATAACATTTTTTTTGTTATTTTAACCAAATAGATTAAAAAGCTTCTTTAAAATTGTTAGCATTTAATATTTCGGTAACAGGTAAAAATCTCGTTCAATCTTCATTTACGTTTGCTGAACGTAGAAGTCCTCAACCCATATTTTACATTTGATAAGTGGGTTGGACTGCGAGAAAGCTTTCTATTAGATGAATGAGACACAAATGATGTGTGTAAACACGAACAATATATATTGGTAAAGCTTTAATAATGATTGCACAAAATACAAATGCAAATGTTTCGGAAAAAAAACAAAAAACAAACAAATGTTATAAAAAGGGACGGAATTCATTATTAATTTCAATACGTTACATACTTAATAATTACAATGCCTAGGATAAGATGATTGGGATTTGATAAGATGTCTAGGGTGTGAAACGATGCTTTGCGGCTGATAAGATTATTTTGCCGGCATACGATGACTGGGCTTTCGATACGATAATCGGGGTTGCAATAAGATGCTTGTGGTGTGATTAGTAGCTGGCACAAGATCGTCTCCGAAGTTCTCAGCTTGCCCCCGACTGTGCCGGATCATTTTAAATATACCCTTACTTCGTTTCCCTGGTGGTAGATCGAAAATCGCAAACTTCTTAAACAACAAATAGGATGTGAATGCCAAAAAAAAAAAAAAACAGCAACAAAAAAAACAAAAAAATATTATCATTCATTTAACAAAATGTTAAGAAGGAACCCAATCGTGAATGTGTGTTCACTTTTTCTAATATTTCCAAGACATATGCAACCAACTGCTTTACCGTCGACTGATTAACTCTTTTCATCTTTAGTTGAAGGCCATCCACACATTAGTCTGAATAAATACGTCTCATGTTTAAAAAGTCAATTTTTCATGAGAAATATTGTATGACTTTTGTCTTAGCTGTTTTGCAACATCCCCCCACCCACCCCACACCCCCCACCCACCCCACACCCCCACCCACCCCAACTCAGATACCTGCCTATTTTCTAAATGGAACTTAAATGGAGCAACAATCCCCTTTTTCCCCATTTGGTTGAACTGTTGTAGACATTGAAAAAAAAGACGTAGTTAAAAATAGTTATGAATAAGTTTAACATTTTTAGTACAAGCCAAAGCCTCCTACCGAGCCACGTAGGAGAAATGTTCAATCAGCTGCTCTGTGGGGAGTTAATTCCCTTGAAATTTCATAATTTTATGCATGCATAACATTCCTTTTTTTTTTTTTCTTATTCCATTTTATCGCATTATTGTAAAGAATTGTGGCAAGGACAATGTTGGCGTCAGAGAATCAATAGCTAGTAACGTAAGCATTGCACTTGATCAGTTCATTCCCTTGATAAAATGAGTTGTGTTTTGTTTCTATCCACTTATCTCCCTTGGTCTTGTCGAAGATCTTATTTGTCGGTTAACATTTTTTTTCTTCAGTTTTTTTTTCCTTTTTTTTTCAAGCAAGATACAAGAATATAATGCTGAAGTAGACACACCAGCATTCACGCCGATGGACGCACCAGCGGACACTCAACTGAACACACCAGCGGACACTCCAGCGGACACTCCAGCGGACGCACCAGAGAACACTCCAGCGGATACACCAGCGGACACACCAGAGAACACTCCTGCGAGCACAAAAGTGAGCACTCAAGCTTACACGCCAGTGAACGTTAGAGTGGAAACTCCAGTGGTCACGCCATCGGACACACCATCGGACACACCATCGGACACACCATCGGACACACAATCGGACACACCAGTGGATAAACAAATAAATACACTAGCGTATGTGGTCCGTCAATTTGGTTCAATTAATAATTTTCTTCGTTTTTTTTTAGATTCTTTTAATTGTATTTCCGATCTCTAAAACCAATAGTCGCTCAAATCTGCTGAATATGATGAAACGCTCGAAGTCAACTGGATATGATAATTTTCTAGAAGCCTACTGAATATGATAAAATGCTAAAAGTCTGCTAAATATTATGAAATGGTAGAAGCTTGCTGAATATGAGGAAATGCTAGAAGCCTAGTGAATATGATGAAATACTAGAAGTCTGGTAAATATTATGAAATGCTAGAAGCCTACTGAATATGATGAATTGCTAGAAGTCTGCTAAATATTATGAAATGCCAGAAGCCTGCTGAATATGAGAAAATGCTAGAAGCCTACTGAATATGATGAGATGCTAGAAGTCTGTGGAATACGATGCAATGCTAGAAGTCGGCGAAGTATTATAAAGTTTTGAAGTCTGCTGCGAATGATGAAATCATTTTCCAAATTATCGGAGAGGAAACCTTACCGTATTAAACCAACCAACATACGCCTTCTTACACTAGTTACGTCAACAGTTTAATGACGTAGAATTTTAAAAAAAAAAAAAACTTCATGAGAATTCGAACCGAAACGAAAGCACGGAACGAAACAATCCAGCAAGAGAGAGAAGAAGAAAAAAAGAGATTGAAGAATTTTTTATTTTTTTTAAAGAATCCGAACTGTTTATTTGGCTTTTGTTATTTTCTCCTCTTGTGCTCCAGAGACCGGAAGTAGTCGACCCAGTTGAAGACTGAACTGTCACAGGGAATGCATTCACAGGCCCGTATCTCTGGCAGGTAGATGACGCGGCTCGACGTACCTGGCGACAACGGCTGAACTCGCAGCTGAAACAATCAATAGTTCTACCATGTTTTTTTTTTTAAAAAAACATCAATCCTTATGCCATGTGTTTAAACACTAAATGTTATACGTTTGTTTAAACACTAAACGTTATATCTTGTGTTTAAACACTTAGAGGTATGTCTGGTGTTTAAACACTAAAAGCTATATCTTGTGTTAAACACTAAAAGATATATCTTGTGTTTAAATACTAAAAGTTATATCTTGTGTTTAAACACTAAAAGTTAGTTCTTGTGTTTAAACACTAAAAATTGGACCGTTTTTTCACTTATGTTCGTTCAACTGATATTAAAAAATGTCCTTATGACCTCTGACCTCTTACAGATTTGGTGGAGATTTAAAGAGATACTACAATCAAACTATAAAATCAAAAGCTCTCCAGATACGTTTCGTTCCTCTAATGTCACTCTACTGAACCAATGTCATGGTTTGTTTGGCCAAATGTTAGGAAATCAAAACTTAATACGTGCTGCGATGGCAAAAATCAGTGTAGGAAATGCCAACCCTGCATACGTCGTCGGGGACTAAAGTGAAAATGAGGGCTCAGAGAAGAAGTCTAACCTAACCACGTCAAACAAGGTCAAACGATGTTGTGTCGCATGTGCTGAAACCATTTAACATCAAATACTTAAAAGGGTAGAGACTATCCAATTTAAGGAAATTATTTCTGTAAAGACATCGCATGTTTCTGTACAACGGGTGGAAGAAGAACAACAAAAAAAGTCTCCAGAAGCCCCCCATTTGTTGTTCTTTGTTCCCTTATGAAAGGTCTTTCTACGGAACTTCATTTTTTTTTTTTTTTTTTTTTTTTTTTTTTTTTCTTTTTTTTCTTTTTTATTTATTAAATTTTAAAAAAAAAAAAAAAAAACCCCGTCCCTCCCCCACCCCCCACCCCCACCCCAACCCACCTCCATCCAAAAAAAAAAAAATTAATAATCGCTTACCTCCCTTCCCGTCACGCTAGAGACCCTGCACCCACAACACTCTCGAACGAAAACAGCAACCCTGAAATTAAAAATAAAAAAAAATAAAAAACATTCTGATCTTAGTAGTTGGTAAGCAAGAAGTTCTGAACGCTTCATGTGTTTAGCTGTAAGATTTAGATTGAGTTCACACAAATGTACAACATTATTACCTTTTTTTTTTTAATGATTTTTTTCCTCCCTTCTTCGTCTCATTATGTCCACAATAGCTAACTAGAAAATAACACTGAATTAAATAAAAATGGATTCAAAATATAATGTTAAAATTCTACCCAAACCAGCAGAGTATCCTTAGTAGGGATCTCATATACCTTTAAGCCCTCACCCAGTGGCTTATTCGTGCATATTTTGTTGTTATATATTATGTGAAGCGTTAATGCCTTGTCATTAGGAGCCAGAAGTCGCTGATGTGCTCAAATAGAGTCAAGGTTGAAAATATTCTTGTAATTCGTTTGATTTTGTCCCTTTGTATTTTGACCAAAAAGTGAAGACAAGGAGCCAGTTGTTTTTTTCCCCTACAAATAGTTCAACCGTTAGTCAATCTAGCCTGCACCCCTTCACCCTGGCACTTTTATTGTTCCGCAACCAAAGATCAAATGTGTGTACTTACACTTAACTGTTCAATCTACGCATGTGTCCACCTACACTTAACTGGTGGCTTACATGGCGACTCTACGAATGTGTAAACCTACTCTGAAATCACCAATCTACATAATATGTGAATATCTACTCAATAACCTACAGATGTGTCACCCTACTCTGAACTCAACAATCTACAGATGTGTATACCTACTCTGAACTCAATAACCTAAAGATGTGTCACCCTACTCTGAACTCAACAATCTACAGATGTGTCAATCTACTCTGAACTCAGCAATCCACAGATGCGTCTACCTAGTCAGAACTAAAAAATCTACAGATGTGTCTACCTACTCTGAACTCAACAATCTACAGATGTGTCTGCCTAATCTGAATTTAAAATTCGACAGATGTGTCTACCTACTCTGAATTGGTCAAGCTTGGCTCGGGTGAAATCGTCGTGCTGTCCACACAGATATTGTATCTCCATGGGATGGGATGATGTCTGTCCAAATAGACAAGATTTAAGATGACGTTTTTCACAACATCATACAACTTCATTAGATGATTTCAGAGTTCAGTTTCAAGATGAAAATTTCACACACAAAATCCTTAAGAATAGTTACGGGCTACTCATGAAGCAGAATGTTTTGTTTATGATAAATAACCATAAATAATTGAAGAATCAAATTTATACATTCGAAGTTTAATTAGAAGCTAGTTAGGAATTTATGTTTGTCCCTTGGTTATAAAGACCACTCAAATTCCCTAAAATACATCTAATTTAAAAAAAAACATATGATTAAATTTCCTAGGTATTTGATTTAGGAAAAGGATTCCATTTTGTGTGTAGCTGAGAGATGCACAAGTGCATATTCGTTTGCATTAGTAAGATGTGATCAAAAGTCTTAAAATTGTTTTAATTTTTAAATCTTCCGAGTTACGTAATGTTGACCATATTTTACCCAACACAGTTTGATGGACTATTTACCACAATGGGAAATTCGGTAGGTATAAATTGATAATATTTATTTATTTACTTGTCACACATGTCTTGACGTTGGCTCTAATTTCAAACAAACTGAAAACTATATTAGTTGCACTCATAAGCTAGAGCTAACGCTGCACACACATAATGCACACGTATATGGCACACATACATTGCATACATGGGCGTCCGCAGGGGGCAAGGGGGGCAAGGGGGGCACTTGCCCCCTGGATTGATTGGATAAAAAAATTTAGACAAAAATAGAGAAAAAATTTATTAAAGTAAAGATAAAATAAAGAGAAAATAACTAAGCTGATGTCCTATCCGTTCGTTCACCATACAAATACGCTACAGTAAATTAAAACTATATTAAAACATTACTAAAAAAATTTGACCCCCCACCCCTGGAAAGTTAATCGATCTTTTTTGCCGCCCCCCCCCCCCCAGAAAGTTTTCTGCGGGCGCCCATGATTGCACACATAGATTGCAAACATATATTGCACACAAATATTGCACACATATATAGCACACATGTATAGCACAAATAAACTGCACAAATATATTGCGCACATATATTGCACACAAATATTTTGCGCACAACATACCCTGGGATGGCCACACTGCCGTAGATTTCTTTCTTTCGACAAACTCCGAGCACGGTGAGAATCTGGGTGGCTAGGAGCAGAAACAAGAGGAAGTAACTCCGTGAGATCATCCTGGTGAATCTTGTCAGACGATACAAAAGTTTTATGATGATCAGCAAAATGTAATCTTATGGTCAAGATAATGTAATCTTATGATCAGGATAATTTAATCTTATGATAAGGATAATGTAATCTTATGTTCAGGATAATGTAATCTTATGATAATAAGATAATGTAATCTTATGATCGGGATAATGTAATCTTATGATAAGGATAATGTCATCTTATGATCAGGATAATGTAATCTTATGATCAGGATAATGTAATCTTATGATCAGGATAATGTAATTTTATGATATGGATAATGTCATCTTATGATCAGGATAATGTAATCTGATGATAAGGATAATTTCATCTTATGATCAGTATAATGTAATCTGATGATAAGGATAATGTCATCTTATGATCAGGATAATGTAAACGATGTACCAGAACTAAAAAGCCCTCTCTTCACGGAGGAAAAGGTACTCAAAAGTTGGTCATGACTTTTGCACATACGTTAGTAAACGTAAAAGGGGATGACCGCATGCAAAGGAGACCTATGTGTACAGGGTGACCGTGTTGGAAAAATTGTAAAGCAAAAGTCTGAGAAACGGGTTTAAAAGAGAGCCTAAGTACATGTAACAGTGTTCTGAAAAAGGTATTCTACCAACGGAAGGGGAAAATCTCCTCGGCCTGTAAGTACATATGAATTACGTCAGAGAACTACTCTTCCTTATAAAAATCTTGATTATCGTAGGTCAGAAAAATGTTTTACAACACAATATCCTGGCAGGCATAAATGGCTTCGCCGAGCTTTTCCCCCAGCCTGTATCCTGTACGAGTGATCAACTGTCTCTGAAGTAATAGCCGAAAAGACGTATTGCCGATGAACTATTAAAGGGATGTCCGGAGACCTTTAGGGCATGCGCAGCTCCTTCTGGAGCATCATTTCCCAAAACGTTTAAGTTTCGCGGACCGCTGGAGATGTCTTGAAAATGCACAAGTGACTGGTGCGAGATACATTAAATACATTTTCATTTTATTTTTGTTTGACCATAAATTATTCATGGTTTGCGGACCGGCAACGATAACCCACGACGGATGGTTTCCTTTCCATGGACCACCATTTGTGTGTGTGTGGGGGGGGGGTCACTGTTCTTGAGAACATGTGCGTGTTTCTTTTTGTAAAAATAAAAATAAAAATGACTGCTCGACCGGACTTTGTCTTCCGTTGATTCTAGACACTTCCATTAGGAGATGAACTTTCGTTCCCATAGGTGTCATATCCGGGTTACCTGGTCCCGTCTCGTGAGATCTGTCCGGGTAACTGTTCTGCCAACCTTTTTCCGGGCAGGTTTCTCCTTCACGATTAGTCACTTACGCACGACAATGGATCCCTTTTTTTTGGGTTCGTTTTGAGACCAATTTGCAACAACAACCGACCAACGTATCTTCCTCTTCACGACCGGGATCACATCGCGGATTGGGTTGTGCCCCGTTGACAAACTCTAGGCGCGTTCAAGGTGCGGCGCTTTAAATATAATTGAAAATAAATTTAATTCACGCAATTAATGATTCATCAATTACTTTGTACTTTGCGTTTTAAAATAAAATATCTATATGAATATTATAAGTCAACGAGAAGTACATATCAAGTTTCTGTATAAAGTGATTATTACGAAAAAAAATTTGCGAAATTGTTTAACGGCCTTCATTAAAGTCAAATATCGCAAAAACTACACTTGGAGAATGATTCGCCACAGGCCATTCAATATAATGAAACCTTACCTTCTCTAGGTGACCTTGTGGAACAGTTAGGCCTAAACGACGAGAGATGTGAAGAAACCTCCAGATGTCTTCGGACTACCAACGCCACTTACTACAATTGGTTACACAAGTCTCCCACCGTTTTATACGAACAACGTCTCCCACATCTTTAAGGCACCATCTGCCATTTCTACCACGAGAGCAGCGCTCCTCAAACTGGGAGCGTTGGTGGTGTACCCATGTGCCGCAAATCAACGAGAGATACGCTTTACACTAGTTACGGTGGAGCTTGAAGCTCGTGGAGCTTAAACGAAATTTAAGTGCGGCTCGAAATAAGAGGAGTGATAAAACAAAGATGAATTTGTGTGTGCAAGATAGTTCAAATGTTTGGGAAACGCTGCTCTCTGGCACTCGTCAAGGAAAGGTAATCTAAAGACTTGATTGTCCGCGCTATACGCTAAATCTTCACCACTCTCGTCCTCTTTTCTCAACACTGTTATTGGCATTTGAAAAAATCTCGAAAGCCAAATGTCGCCAAGGAAGAGCTTGCGGTCGCGCGGAGAAACCCAGAGCTGTAAACGGCCGAAAACTGAGACCTAATTGGTCACTAATGTAAGGCCTGAGCTTTGGTCCCCGTTGGTTGAGGTGTCGTATTCCGATGAGATTTGGGGTGGGGTGAGGGGTGGGGTGGATGTATCGGGTGTTGTGGAGGGGGGTTGGGGGGCAACTGATCGCTGTATGGTAACCTGTTTGGAAGCTGAAATCAGTGTTGTCTTAAAACCTCCATATCGTGAATATAACGACACAATGAATGACTCTTGGAGGAGTTTCAGTAAACAATAACATTTTACATTGTAATACATCAAACATTAATTGCACATTACACAAATCATTATCAGTAAAATAATTATCTTGAGCAGCACACAACAAATGCTGCTCGTTCCGTCACGTGAAATTCTTTTGAATGTAGTATTTTTCTTCTTTGATGATCTCAGCTATAAGGTACAATCAGTCGTAAATCTTCGGCTTATTTCCCCAGGGAGTGGCAACCCTTTTATTTAATTTACTGTTACGATCTCAATGATGTTATAGTTATCATGTCGTGTATCTAAAGTTTACGTTATCATTTACTTTTTAACAAATATTTTATTTGCTATCAAAGGCAATTTTGGTCCAAGGCAAATCTGTTTACTACTAGCCTATCTTAAAGAAATAGTTTTTTTGTTGCTTTATTAAAAATATTTTATTTGCTATCAAAGGCAATTTTGGTCCAAGGCAAATCTGTTTACTACTAGCCTATCTTAAAGAAATAGTTTTTTGTTGCTTTATTAAAAAATATTTTATTTCCTATCAAAGGCAATTTTGGTCCAAGGCAAATCTGTTAACTACTAGCCTATCTTAAAGAAATAGTTTTTTTGTTGCTTAATTAAAAATATTTCATTTGCTATCAAAGGTAATTTTGGTCCAAGGCAAATCTGTTAACTACTAGCCAATCTTAAAGAAATAGTGTTTTTTTTTGTGTTTTATTTTCCCTGTGCTGCTCATCTCAATACTTCCCGGTACATTTATTATGTTACCAATAACATCTGGCACTCTTCACACGCATACTACATATGGCATTCTGACGACTAATCACCTGTTCTTAAAATGTTCACGTTGGTTCGTGAGTAAAATACCTTTAAATAGAGACTTGTGTTCTCGGAGTGACGCGACCACCCGAGACTCGGCGTCAGGTGACTTTTAGTTATCGGCCTCCCTCGTTTGGACGTTGCTACTTTGGCAAAAGGCACCCCGACTAGAGAAGCGTTATCATTGCAACACTGCAAAGGCGTAGCGAGGGGGCGCAGGGGGGGGGGACAGATGTCCCCGGGCGCAAGCTAGTTAGGGGCGCCAAAATGTGCTTTGATATTATATTATTGGTAAAAATAATGGGTTTGAGAGTTGAAACAAAGAAAAGGGGGCGCTTTAAAATGGATCTTGTCCCCGGGCGCGAATCTTTTCCCCGGGCGCCAAACACCCTCGCTACGCCACTGCAACACTGGGTCTTTTAATCCAGATTTGTAACAAAATTATTTATAAGAATATTCTAAGATTGAGTGCTGAAGTGCTCCCGAATCAGTTTGAAAACATTAGCAGGCATTGGAGTGAATGATGATAAAATTGAAAAAAAAAATTGACATTGTAATTAGGTCATTTGTGCCAAATGTATTATCTTTCATTTATTTCTTGTTTAGACGACTTTATCCTGGGTATGTAGTATGTAGTGTACACAAGAGTTTTAACAAGAGAAACACGCAGCTTGTCAAACGGAGACAGGGGTGTCCCCAAAGAGAGTACAGCAACATTATCTGTGAACCATGATGGACGAAAATATTTTTTAAGGCAGACTCCGCTGAACCGGATACCTTGATTGTAGCTCAGAACAAATGTGATCTACAGGCAGGAACCTAAGAGGCAGACGGCTCGCCGGTCGACCAAGTCTGAGAGGGGGGGGGGGGGGGGGGGGGGGGGGGGGGGGGTCCAAGCATGGGGGCCAAAGGGATTGGATCGAGCCAAATGGAAAAATGTGGTGGAGCAGGCCAGGACCATAAATGGGCTGTAGCGCCACTGTTGATGATTAGTATATAGGTTAACAGAAGTGTGTGTCTTGTTTCTTACATTCTTAACTGAGGTGGACTATTTTTTGGTTTCGGGGGACAAAAAAAAACAACAAAAAAAAAAGCACTAGAAAAAAAAAACACAACCAATATTAGAAAATATGAATTGAAAATTTATTTAGACGTAATAATAAAAAGCTACAGAGACACAGTCAAACATTTCCTGGTAAAATAGAGACGCAGAATTTATATGTATATTTGTCCATAAAAACAGGTCAATGAGGATCATCAAATATGAATTAAGCAAGAGTAATCAAATGATACATGTCTATGCAATTGATCATAAATGTCATATTTGCGATCTGTATGTCTGACAATCCTGCTTAGAGTGCTCAATACAGTGCAACCAAAAGTCACATGAAAAATGATATATAATTTACATGTTAATAAATTCTATAACAATAATATTCCCCAGTGGACATCGTGTGTCCCGCTGAAGAAAGGTAATTCGGTATAACAAATTTTAAATAGCCTTTATGGCCTATTTCCCTCAACTAAAGCTTTTGCAGTAAAAAGAAGAAGAAAAACAAGGATGAGTAGCACAAAGTATGTGGAAACCTGAAAAGGAACGCAACAAAGCAACAAACGTGTCGGCAGGAAGCCTTCGTCGGTGAACAATCAACAGGGACAAAATAGCACTTAGTTGAAAAGAGGGCAGCAAAAGAATTGTGACAGAAAATAATAAGGTGAGTCATGCAAACAAAAGGTGGTTGGGGGGGGGGAGAGTAGTAAGTCTAAGGGGCGGGGCAAAGGCTTTAACATGTGCTGTTTTTTTAAAAAATGACGTGTTAGTTCAATTTTTAAAATCAATGTATCTTCTATTGTGCAATGTACTATTAGCGATAACCAAGAGAGGTTGGGAAAAAAAAAAAAAATTCTTTATTTTGAGAATAATTTCGAATTTTTTTTTTTTTTTTTTTTTTAATCTAGCATAATGACGCCACGATTTTTATACAACAGAAATCAATATTTTTAATGCAGCAAAAAATGTACACACAGCGGGAGACGTAACATTACAAGATTTTTGTTTAATTGAGATGTGAAACCAGAGATTCTGTCTGGGAATATGTTAACACTGTTACAGTTATAGCCGTTCTGCGGTTTAGCCATGTAACACCATTTGGATCATCTTTACGGGGGACATCTAACGTAGAAGTTAAAGTATTCAAAACCATATTTTAAAGGCAGGATATGAGATTAAAAAAGAAAAAAGAATTACAAACATGTACATTTGAATGTGATTAAACCGTGGCAGTAATCCTGATCTGGGTCGTGTCATTACAAGAGTCTTGGTGGAATGTCATTACAAGAGTCTGCTTCGAACAGATATGTTTTTTAAATAAAATTTTATATTTTTTTAAAATATATTTATTTTTTTTTTTGCGTATAGGGAAAAATGGGGAGTGGGGTGGGGGGCTGGACTCTAGAAAACTACAGGATTTGTCTTAAAATTGAAAATACATTTATTTACTATAATGGAATGCACGGAGTTGTAACCCCTCTATTTTGAGTCGTCGTTATTTGTTTCAATCATATTCAAAATATATAGAATCGAATAACCTTCTAAGTCATCGATGAGGAATATTGTATGCTGTAAGTCAATAGTCGTGAGGATCAGTCATGTCGGTATGTCTGGACAGCGTTTCAAGTTGTTCCTAAACAGGTTCGAACACAATCCTTTCATTCTTCCTATTGCAAATCATTTATATACACTTGAAAATGAAACAGCCAATGTTGGAAAGTGTGAAGCCGTCCACTGAGCCAAATACTCTGTGCAAGGAGGTCTTAGTGTACTGAAACGTCTTTAAGGAATGCTAGCGATTGGAGCGGGGTTTCTTGGTCCCAGGGTTTCATCATCTCAGTTGAAATACAACAAAAATATGGACACAAATTCAAATTGTATTATCTTCCTAAACCCCCCCCCCCCGGAAAACACGATGATATTTTTGGTGTCAAGCATCCAATACACGATGCTAATATCAATACGTTTGGTGCAGTTTGGGGGGGGGGGGTCTTAACACCGGTAAGATAGTAGGAGAGATAGTATAAGCGATAGTATAAGAGATCGTGGGAGAAATAGTAGGAGAGATAGTATGAGAGGTAGTATGAGAGATCGTAGGAAGAGATCGTAGGATAGGTCGTAGCAGAGATCGAAGGAGAGATAGTATAAGAGATAGAATAAGAGATAGTATGAGAGATCTAAGGAGAGAGCGTAGTATAGATCTTAGGATAGATAGTAGGAGAGATTAGTATGAGAGATAGTATGAGAGATAGCATGAGAGATAGAATGAGAGATCGTAGGATAGATCGAAAGAGAGATCTTAGGAGAGATAGTAGGAGAGATAGTAAAATAGAAAGTAGGAGAGATAGTAGCAGAGATAGCAGGAGAGGGTGTGAAATGAAAAGAATGAGATGAGGACTTCATGGTCAGCAAACACAAATAAACTTTAAGGCAAGTAAAGATTGATCAGATATG